CACACATACACACACGTACACATACACACACGNTACACACACACACACACGTACATACAACACGCTACAAATCATCTTCTGCCACTCTTACAGCCACAAACGGACTTGTGATGAGGCATTCAATCCACCATCATCGTCATCATCACCATCATCGTTGTCGTCGCAACAATCATCATTACCACTGCCAACGACATCATCATCATCATCGTTTCTTTCATCATCATCATCAGCAGCAGCAGAATCATCATCAGGATGCAACGTTGTGGCTGCTGGAAAAAGACGTTCGTGCTTATTCCCTCGTTGTTTCCATTACACACACACACACACACACACACACACACACACACACACACACACACACACACACACACACACACACACACACACACACATACACACACACACACACTTAAACACACACACGTGTGTGTGTGTGTATGTGTGTGTGTACATCGTCTTGTTTCGATATTTTAAGGTTAAAATTTTCAGACCATTCCTCCCCTATCTTGCTTCATTGAATTCTCAACTTCATTCCACAGAGAAACTGACTGAATCACCGCGACCCACAGCAGCAGCAACAACAACAGCAATGACGTCATCATCATCATCAGTTTCTCTCAAACAATCATCATTATCGTCATCACCACAATCACAATCATTATCATCATCGACGCCAGTCTCGTCACAACAATCATCATCATCATGCGTGATGGCGCCCAACGTTTCATCTCCTTCTTTCCTCACTCCATCTTCATATGATGATGATGATGATGATGATGATGATCATGATGCTGCTGGTGGTGATGGTGATGATCGTTTGAATGATGATAATAACAATAACTACAACAACAGCGTTTGTAATGACCATTCTACAAATTCGAACCCTGCTACTTTTACTCATATGATTAATGATAATGATGCTGACGACGAGGATGATGATGATGATGATCACCATCATCATCATCATGATGACGACATTAGTAACATTGTTAATAAAGATAATAATGATGATGGTGGTGATGATGATGGTGACTTGGATGGCAATGTGAGAAGCAGAAGTGAACAAAATGTAAAAATTGTTAACGGCTTCAAAATTTCATTTGAAAACAATGACAACAACAACTACACAAACAACAGCAGCAACAACAACAAATCATCGTCATTATCAAAAACTTCGAGAGTCAAAACTACAACAACATCAACAAAGCAGCAACCAACAAAACATTCAACAACAACAAATAACAACAAAACTATCAACAAACATGTTACTGTTGCTAAGGTTGGTTAACTAACTATTTGACTGACTGACTGATTGACTGGCTGGCTAGCTGACTGACTGACTGACTGACCGACCGTGTTATTCATGAGTTTAACAATTTCGATGGGCGATACAATGAAGATGTGAATGATGTTGATATTAAACAGGATGATGATGATGATGATGATGATGATGATGACGATCTGGTGGCTC